AAGGTCTGATTAAATCGCACGGCGCTGCGGCATGGACCGATGATTGCCAAGCTTCCGTTGCGGCGGAGTCCCCGGGGAGGGAAGAAATGGAGCTGAGTGCCAAAGGCCAGGAGTTCCAGAAGGAAGAGTTTTAGAACGCTCACCGGCGGGGGAACTACGCCGAGTCCTCTGGCCCCAGGTCTTCAAGTGATGACTGGCTAGCGAGAAAAAAGCGAACTCCAGAAGAAGGAGAATGTGGGGAAGAATTCTTTGGGTGAAAGAGTACAGACCTTCCCCTGGCACATTTCAGTTACAGCTCTTGCCTCTTGCTTATTGCAGTTATAGACCAATCACTTGCCTTCCTGTGCCCTTCATTTGTCCATCATCCACTCATCCCCGCACTGACACACACATTCCCCCATCACTCATCATCCGTCCGTCCTCCATCCTTCATCTATCCATCCATTCGCACACCCACACATGCACCAATCACCCATCTTTCATCTTCTCTACCCATTCTTCATCCTCTGTCCATCCATTAATCCATCCACCCACCCACCCACACACGCATTCTCTCCATTCATCATCCATATATAAATACACACACCCATTCATTCACACCCACCCATCACTCATCCATCCATCCATCCATACATCCACACATCCATCTATTCATGCATTCATCTATTTTCTATCCATCCTCCATTGACCACACACCCATCACTTATCGTCCATCCATCCTCCATCCTTCATCCATCCATCTATCTGCACACCCACACATGCACCAATCACTCATCTTCATCCTCTCCACCCACTCTTCATCCCCCCTCCATCCATTAATCCATCCATCCATCCACACATGCATTCTCTCCATCCGTCATCCATATATACATACGTGCACACCCATTCATCCGCACACCCACCCATCACTCACCCGTCATCTGTCTTCTCTGTCTGTCTTCCATCCTTCTGTCGATCATCCAACAGGCCATCTTCCATCTTCCTACCTATTGCACAGATAGGTGCTTTGCATCTCTCGTGTGTAAAGCACTGGGCTTTGATCTTGCCATCATTTTGTTTAAGGTAATGGCCCAGTCTGACTGTCAGACTTTTTTACTTAACTTTTTGTCTCTGAAGAAGACACCTCACTTTGCTTATGAGTCTGATGTACAAGCTACTTCTTCTCTGTGTGCAGTGATCAGGAGTTAAAAGAGGTTGGACTGTCTTCCTGTTCCATCCTACAGGCTTGTATGCCCCGTTCCTTCTGTGTTCCACCCTAACACTTCTGCCTTGGCTGGTAACCAGGTTCCCCTCTTTTATGTTCCCTCCAGGCTGCAGGATTTTTTTGTTTGTCAGTTTGTTTTTGCAACAACTAAACTCTGCCTTCGCCTTGATAAATAGCTCTTTCATCATTACTTTTTTGCTCCATTACCTAGTTTGGGGACTGGAGTGATAGCACAACGGGTAGGGCATTTGCCTTGCACATGGCCCACCTGGGTTCGATTCTTCTGCCCCTCTCAGAGAGCCCAGCAAGCTACCGAGAGTATCCCGCCCACACGGCAGAGCCTGGCAAGCTCCCCATGGCATATTCCATATGCCAAACACAGTAACAAGAAGTCTCTCAATGGAGACATTACTGGTGCCTGCTCGAGCAAACTGATGAACAACTGGAGGACAGTGCTACAGTGCTATCGAGTTTGGTGTCACTGTCTCTTTCCACCCACATCCTGTGTAGTGAAGAAAGAGTAAGCACTAGAACTAACTCCCTTTTATAGATGATGGAAGCTTAGAAAGGCTGATCAGGCTTGTCCAGAGTTGCGGTGTGGTGTCTTGACTGCAGGCATGCACTCTTCAGCAGCCCAGGCTTACTACTTCATATCTCAGAGATTGACTCTTGAATATTTGCTCCCCAGAAGCCTGGATGCATGAGTCCTGGGTACTTGAAATTGGAGTGGTTTGAGAAAAAGTGTAGGGACATAAATTGACTGAGGGTCTTTGGGTCGCCAACCATGAGAATGTTTTGATCTCCTTTCACTCTTCCTTCAGCATCACCTGGCATCTCCATTTCACAGGCAGAGAAACGGAAGTTTAGAGAGATCAGCCCCCTGTATGGGGCTCTGGTCCCAGTTTTAATGTTTGTCTCTTTTTCCCTCCAACGTGCCGCCCAAATTCACAGTGACAGGGGTTGTAGACTGAGCCAGTAATTTCTAGTCTTGAGGGGTGACTGCGCGGTTCAAGGGTTCATTCCATCCCTTTCTGTTTTCTGCTTAAAGCTGTGCTCAGTTGTGTGAAGGACCATAGGGAGACAGAGAAAAAAGGATGAGGTTAAAATGGCCTTTGCCAGCTGGGATAGAGAAGGGACCACTAAGTCAATGATGGTTGTACTCACTCGGGATGGGAGATGCATGCTGAAAGTAGACTATGGACCAAACATGACGGCCACTTAGTACCTGTATTGCAAAACATGACATCCAAAAGGAGAGAGAGAGAGTAAGAGGGAATGTGCCTGCTACAGAGGCAGGGGGTGGGGATGGTGGGAGGGATACTGGGAACATTGGTGATGGAGAATGGGCGCTGGTGGAGGGATGGGTACTCGAACATTAGGTAAAGGTAAAGGTAAAGGCCCTCCCGTTGATCGTCGATTTGCTCGAGCGGGACCAGTAACGTCTCCATTGGAGACTTTGTTGTTACTGTGTCTGGCATATCGAATACTCTCGGTAGCTTGCCGGGCTCTCCGAGAGGGGCGGAGGAATCGAACTCGGGTCGGCCATGTTGGCCGCTTGTAAGGCGAACGCCCTACCCGCTGAGTGAAACATAATCATGCAAGTTTGTAAGTCTATAACTGTATCTCACTGTGATTCATTAGAATAAAAAAATTTTAAAAAAGAATGTGAAGAAGTCTTTATGCACCATTGGTGGGACTGTAAATGTGTTTACTGTTTTAGGAGAATATGGGGAAACCTTGAAAATATTTAAAATAGATTGATTATATAATCTAACCGTTACACTTCTGGATAGATGTGCAAATTAAATAAAATCACAATCTTGAAGAGAAAAAAATTTAAAAAATAAAATAAATAAAATGGCCTTTGCAAATAGACCAAAGTGAAACCTAAGGTAGAACAATTCTGAGAGATCTCTCCACGGTCTGTGTCTCTGCATTATGTATGCATCTGTGGATCTGTGAATCTACGTGCATATATCTGTCTACATCTCTGATTCTTTCTATGGAAGAAGATGCCCATCATCGAAGAACTAATCCCTATTAATAACTTGTTGCTATGCTGCCGTTTCTCTTTTCTCTGCATAAACGTGGTTGGTTGTGTTTCTGTGTTATTCAACTATATATATAGTGGCTACTAAACAGAAATCGTTAAATATATATATATATATATATATATATATATGAGAGGCCAGAGAGATAGATGATATAGCATTTATATCCTTTACATGCACCTGGCCAAGCCAGCTTCAATCCCCAGTACCACACGGACCCTCTAGCTTTCTCAGGTACAACCCTAGAAGTCCCTGAACACTGCTGGGTATACCACAGGGCAATATTGGTCACTTCTGTCACCGGGGGCTCAAGCAGCATCACGTCCTCCGACCCCAACATTGAACCACAATACTGTTCCCCTGGACCTCCTGAGCACCACATAGGCTCTGTGTGTGCGTGTGTGTGTGTGTGTGTGTGTGTGTGTGTGTATGTAGTTAAGCCCAGGACTATGGGTTCCCAAGCAGCGAGACACACAGAGACACAAACACAATCATGCAAAAGCAGGAGTTTTATTCCAGTATAAAACAATCTCACCCACAGAGTGATAGCGACCCCGACTTCAGGCAGCAAGCATTTTGTCTAGGGTTTGATTACATAAGCAGTACATGCCTTATTATTTCAGAAGAAACCTTACCTAGTTACCAAACAAAGGTGTTTTGGCAAGTGTCTAGGTTAGCAGTGGCCAGGCAATAGTTAAACAATAGTTTCCACTAAAAGTTCATGGTTGCATAAGCTGCTCATTCTTTTAGGGTTAACAAAAGACAATTTCTGGGGCATTTTGACTGGGGGCATAGTGATTGATTGAGCCCATTTGCTGGACCCAGAAACTTTTCCAGGTGGATTCAGGTTGGCTAGTTACACATTCTTTCATTGCTGGGAAACCGAGACCATTTCAGTTCCAGGAACTGAATCTGAGGTCTGAAGTTGATTTTGCTGATTTCTGCCTCCTGTCATGGAGTCAGTTTTGCCCTTACAATACATATATGTATATATATGTATGTGTGTATATATATATATATGAAAGAGACTGAGGGTGGGGGGAGAGAGAGAGAGAGAGAGAGGAGGGAGAGAGAGGGAGAGAGACAGGAGAGAGAAAGAACCACACATTTTAATAAAACCACCAAGTAGTAATCTTAATGACTCGAAACAGAATATGACTTAGATATATATACCTGCCTAGAAACAATTAGGAACTATTCTGTGCACGTGTGTGAACATTCATATATTGTTTGTTTACTCCAGTGAGTGTGTAATTTCTTTATAACAAAAATTTATTTTAAAAATCTGAGCACTGGGACAGGAGAGATAGTACAGGGTATAAGGCACACACTTGCCTTGCACGTGGCCAACCCGAGTTCGATCTCCAGCATCCCACATGGTCCCCCAAGCAACGCCAGACGTGATTCCTGAGCATAGACCCAGGAGAAACTCCTGAGCATTGCTGGGAGTGACCCCAAAACAACAAAATGTTTGTCTGCAATGTTTGTCTGCTTTAGCTGCTTCATAGACATTTTTAGATTGAGCAGTTTTGTTCCCCAAAAACTTAACATGGAAAACTATAAATTTCATAAACATATCTTTAAGGAAAAAAATAGTATACACTTGTTTGTTTGACAACAACCAACCCTTATTACATACTTTTTTTCCCTAATGTTTCATGGCATTATTTGCAGTGATCATGCAAAAAAAAAAACCTTTAGCGTGGTAACTTCCACCCTGCCCTTTTCTTTGTTTCCCTGTGTAGTCTGAAGTTTCCTGGATTCCCAACAAACATTATTCTGGGATTTATGGACTGATGAAGCTCGTCCTGACCAAGACTCTCCCGGCCAACCTGGAGCGGGTCATCGTGCTGGACACAGATATCACCTTCGCTACAGACATCGCTGAGCTCTGGGCTGTGTTCCACAAGTTCAAAGGTACTTGTAACCTGCTTTATTTATTTTCTGGAAGCTTTCAAAGTGTACAAATTGCAAACAATAGTGACGTGCCTTCATTTTCCATATGAGATCATCCTGGAGGTCCCAGTCGTGAAATGGGTACGAAATTACCAGTTGAGTTGGTACCAACTCTCTGGCCATTTGAAACAGGTTCCAGTAAAACTGAAATTTATTTGCATCCTGCCAGAAAGCATTCAGGTTACTGTTGATGGAGGGGGAAAGGGGGGGGGGGGATTAACGATTAATGAATTGATTACTAATTAACAAAATTATTAGAATTCCTTAACTGTTCCAGGAACATGCTTTTGGCCATTGATCCATTCTTCTTGGCTGCAGCTCCGCCTAATTTTTGTCCCTGCTTCTAATTAAGGGCCAGTCACAGAAATTTCAACTTAGTCGTTGAAATACACCCCTCATCACAAAGGGTATACCTTCTAGTTATCCTGTTATGATGGGAATTGTACATCCCTAACTCATCACAAAAGCGTATGCCTTCTAGTTATCCTGTTATGATGGAAATTTAAAAAAACACAACAATTTTGGATGCTTGATAAGTGATCAATATCAAAGGTGGAGTTTCTTGTGAGGCAAGTGTCACAGGATAGAAACAACGTTTTTATCGGTTTTCTCGGCTTATCAAATAACTTTGATGGTTGCGGAAACTTAAGAGCGAGCGAGTGGAGATGGGTATTGATTATAGAGTGTTTGAAATGTTCTCGGGGCTTTTGTTTTCGTGACTGTGACGGCTGTTTCATTTCACGGAGGTATATAAGTTGGGCTTTCCTTCTAAGGGGGTTAGTTTCTTCTTAGCTTTTATTGTATGTCTTGTCACTGCCTCCCCGGAGGTGAAAGTACCTAGCAGGGATTGACGAGGCGGGAGTGTATTTAAGTCTGGCATGGATTGCTGAGAAAAAGACAGGTCAGCGTGAATCTCGGGTTGTTATTTCAAAACCCCTCTCCCAAATGTCTTCCCTAAAATGCCATTATTTTATAAAAATCCATCTCTAAGTTAGACAGATGTCATAAGAGAGAAATTTGGCAGTCAGACACTCACTTTCTTTTTCTTTTTCCAGCCACTCGCAAACTTCTGAGTCTAAACTCCCTCCTGCCTCTTCCCCCTAGTTTTTTTTTTATCCTACAAAAGGGTGAGCACACTTCCTCATTTCTTTTTTTTTTTTTTTTTTTTTTTTTTTGCTTTTTGGGTCACACCCGGCGATGCTCAGGGGTTACTCCTGGCTCATGCACTCAGGAATCACTCCTGGCGGTGCTCGGGGGACCATATGGGATGCTGGGAATCAAACCTGTATCGGCCATCTTGGCTGCGTGCAAGGCAAACGCCCTACCCACTGTGCTATCGCTCCAGCCCCTTCCTCATTTCTTTTATGGCCACGTCTTCATCCATCCCGGGATAGTCCACCGGGCTCCTGTTTCCTTTCCTGGGCAGAAGAACAAATTCCTCACCCAGCCCAATCTCTGTTGCTTTCTTCTGCTTCCCTCTGAGCTCACTAGAAAAGTTTTCATGTTCCAAGGGGAAAGGGTCACAGCAAGACCCTGACACTCTCCCTTTTTGGATCGAAATGTCCAGACCAGCCTGAATGACAGTGATTCAAGACTACATTTAGGGGCTGGAGCTATAGTACTGTGGGGAGGGCGTTTGCCTTGCACAAGGCCAACCTAGGTTTGATTCCCAGCATCCCATATGGTCCCCCTGAGCACCGCCAGGAGTAATTCCTGAGTGCAGAGCCAGGAGTAACCCCTGCCCATCACCAGGTGTGACCCAAAATGCCAAAAAAAAAAGGACTACATTTAGGGGCTCAGGGAAGAGTAGGTGCCTCAAAGTGCTGTAAGTACAAGGACTCAGGTTTGATCCTGGTTCTGCCCACATGCAACAAGCACAGTCCCAAAGGGCCCTGGTATGTGGGACCCCCAGCACCGCGATTTTATGTTCAACAGCCAAAACACAGCCAGGGGTATGTGAGCTACATAACTTGAGTGTGCAACCTCCAGCGAACCCCACATTTAAAAGGGAGTGTGAGCACCCTAGCTGGGAGTGTGACCCCTGATGGGCATGTGTGCCAGTACTGCAGGTTTTGAAAGATTTTGCAGGGTGGGAGACAGTACAAGGGATAAGGTGCTGGCCTTGCTGTCCCCGGTTTGATGCCCAGTACCTTAGTCCAGAGTGCTTGCATCTGGCCTGGACAACTGCTAGTCACTGTGAAATCAGCAATCTGGGAAGGGATAGGGAGAGAGAGAAGAATGGAGAGTTAAAAAATAAAATTAAATTAAGAGAGACATTTAGCAGAATGGGTTGAAACTCAGTGCGTTCCAGAGTTCTCTGTTCTCCGGAGAAGGCTGAGACCTGCATTTTTATTTCATGAATATGGACACTGGTGCTGGGCAGGATGCAGGGTTTGCTCAGAGTCGGGACCCAATGCATGTGTGAGCTGGTTCTGTGCTCAGCTCCCGTCTCATCTGTCATTCTGATGTATGTGCAGTGGGGGAGAGGGAAGAAGCGGAGAAGAGCTTCACACCCAGCAGTGCTCAGAGGATACTCTTGGCTTTGTGCTCAGGGGTTATTCCTGGCAGTGCTCGGGGGACCCACTGCAGAGCCAGGGATTGAACCTGGGAGAGGCACATCCCAGGGGATCTGCTGGTTTGTCACTGGTTTCCTTGGACTCTCTGGGTGGAGAAGAGGTTTTCATTATCTTTCTGTTGTGCTGCGCATCGACAGTTCAGTGACTCATTTCTTGAACGATTATTTGTCACGGTCCCACTGAGGGTCAGGCGTGGGTTTTGGATAAACGGGCATGCGTGGTGAAAGGACTGAGGGGTTGTGGCCTTTCCTGAAGGTGATTGGTACGAGATCACAAAGGCAGTGCCCAGTGGGCAGTCTTACCAGCATGGTGGTTAGGTGCTACAGACTCCCGCTAGCCCCTTTGGGAGTAAAAGCACTGACTATCCTAACTACTGGCACCTTGGGTGACCTCCAGGGAGGGCCTAGTCCTGTGGCCACGCCCACATCAGATTGGCCACACCCACATCAGATTGGCCACACCCACATCAGATTGGCCACGCCCACATCACAGTGGCCACGCCCATATCAGATTGGCCACGCCTGTAGCACAGCGGCCACGCCCATTTCAGATCGGCCACGCCCATATCACAGTGGCCTCCCTCATATCAGATTGGCCACGCCCATATCACAGTGGGCACACCCATATCAGATCGGCCACGCCCATATCACAGTGGCCTCCCTCATAACAGATTGGCCACGCCCACATCACAGTGGACACGCCCATATCACATAGGGCACGCCCACTTCCAGAATGGGCAGTGCAAGGGCTGATGGATGTGGAATCTTGCAAGATGCACTGTAGCATGTTTGATCTCTCAGTTATCTTCCCCACCCCAAGTTCTGCTTTCTTCCCTTCCCCCTTTTTTTTTAAATATCTGTGAGGAGCAATTCATAAACACAGGCATCACCTCCGTATCAGTCGGTTTCCTGAGAAACTCAACCTGCAAATCTGCATTCAGAGCTCCACGGGAGGGGTGGAGGCAGAGAGAACTGAGCAGAAGCAGCGGAACAGGGCACTGCTAACTGTTAACTTCCGCCTCCGGGAAATCACGCTTATCTTATCCCCATGCTAATTGGGGTTCTGTGGCCAGGAATACTGATGTCATCCGGTTTAAATAGCCCAGATCAACCGTGCCAGGGAAGCTTCCCATGGCCCCAGCCGTGCCCTTAGCTGGCCCCAGATTTGGATTTGGACGGCTCTGAGAGTCTAAGCAGCTCTGGGGCAAAGCAGAGGATATGGGCCAAGGTCAGGACAGGAGCAGGGAACTTTGCATAAAATGAGCTGCAGTTAACAGGCTGCCCTGTGTTTCTGTGTTCTCTCCTGGGTTTATTTCTAGCGCGGGTTACGCCCCCACCGCGCAGAGGAATCCATTAGATACCCTTGTTAGCTGAAACTGTTGAAAAATATAGCACCGGCCTTCAAGGTAGCTCACAAATCTGGCAGACTGAGTTTGTACACACTCATCAGCAAAGAAGTACAAAAAAACATGGGAGGTATTCCAGAACCCACCTAATTTTTCTGGGAAAATACAGACGCATAAAGAAAATAAGTAAGTTCTTCTGTTCTCCATATGGCTTGCTTAGTCCAAGTTTCTTTGGTAGTGTGTGTGTGTGTGTGTGTGTGTGTGTGTGTGTGTGTGATTTCTTTTTCTCCCTAAATTGGAGCCATTAGAAGCCAGACCATGGAACAGGAAGACAGTCTCTGTAGGACAGACCCATCAATCTAGAACATTCTGACCCAGGAGGGAGAGCTCCCTTCTAATCAAGATAATTGAAGCAGACGTCTTTCTAGGTAAACATTATGAGTGACTGACGTGGATACAATTTGGCCTGGCTAATTTTTCTGCTTTAGAACAGCTAGTTACCTAAGGCCATGCACAGTGCTTCCTGTTTTCAGAACACTTAGACTCCAGGAAGGATGGGGCGAAACCCCCCTCCCTTACCTAAATTCATTATGTGGACATTATGTTAAGAAGCTTTTGAGTGGGGAGTTTCGACCCGTTAACATGGAAAATTCCCCCAGCTGGTGGATTCCTGCTCTTGACCCAAAAATAGAATTATACCAACTGAGATGCCTCCAAGAGCTGAGACGTCTCAGAAGTCCAGCTTCCATCTCAAGAGATGCATGGTCCAGGATCCAAACACCTGTTTCAAAATTTTATATATATATATAAATTTTAGATATGCTGTCACTGTCACTGTCCTCCCGTTGTTCATCGATTTGCTCAAGCAGGCCCAGTTACGTCTCCATTGTGACAGTTGTTACTGTGTTTGGTATATGGAATACGTCACGGGTAGCTTGCCAGGCTTTACCGTGTGGGCGAGATACTCTCGGTAGCTTGCAGGGCTCTCCGAGAGTGGCGGAGGAATCTAACTCGGGTTGGACGTCCTACCCACTGTGCTA